TGTCATTGCTAATAGTTTGAAGCGCTCACATTCACGGTTTATTAACCTTGCATGCTTCACCCAGTCACTATCACCTACTTTTGTCATCTTGAGACATTGATAACAAAAATTAAACAAGGATGACTGTTTAGCAAAGATTTTTAACAAAATTTTAATCGTTGCATTAAAAGAAAAATCTCTTGGATTCTTTGGAAGGATACAGTTACTGTAACGTTCATGTTCAACAGTTCCAAGTTTTCGTAAGAGTATTCTGACCTTAGCGGCGCCATCAAGTTTTTTGAGGTCGACCTTGAACAAATCTTCATATTTCTTGAACCAGGTTTCAAAAGTAATGCCAGCCGAGTCATCAAAATTAAATCCATGGATAGAATTAGCGATCTAGTCAACATGAGATTTGAACGGGTCATCTGTAACTTCTTTTTGATTCAGGTTCATTTTCTGAGTTAGCATCCCTATCATGAACATCTGGAACTGTTCAAAACGTTTTTCTTGGCGCTCCAGTAAGGCTTCGAATTGTTCAAAGGTAAATGACATATTGATACGATAACCCGCCGCCAGATGTTATAACTTGAAAGTTGATTTCTCGATATACCGCGTATAACAGAGCACTAGAACACCAGAAACCTTCCAAGTCGAAATGAGAAGACACAAGACTAATGAAAGGAATATTATTCCAAACAGTGTCCGTCATAGTACAAAATTGTCAGGTATTTATAGTTTTTAGTGAGAACGAAATCATCATTATAGTCCTCCAATCCTCATACAGGGGGTTGTTAGCATTATCCAATCGGGAAGCTACACGTAGGAATTGTAGATTGTTCTTCCGAAAGGTGATTGGATGGAACGTCTTCGGCTCCTTCTGAGCCTCTTACAGCTACATCGAGTTCACCGGTGGTCCGTCGTCACACGGTGTCTGTTGTGTAAACAAAATAAAGGACGGTTGCTCAATATCGTGGATTGGTTGAAATTAGGCATTAACACCGTCGGATATCGGCTGTGGTCTAGAGTTAGGGTTGGAATCTCGAGTACGGGACCGTAGGTGCGCACTGCTGAGGAGTCCCATACTGCTTCCAGATTTTCAACGGTGGTCTAACATCGACCGGTTCATGATCTCAATTAAAACCCAACAATCTCAACACTATGCTGATAAATAGTTATTTATCCAAACTAACATTTTCGCATTTATGAGAATCATAGCCTTGAAGGATCTGGGAGTTGGTAAGATTTGTTGAATAAATGGTTACTAGTTACTCAAAAGTCAGTTTTTCATGATTTTCGTAATGCAAATAACATATATAGATGAGTTATTTAAACAAGATAATAAAAAGGTTTTCAACTACTTATAAAGAAATATTTCTCACGTTACTTAACCAATTGATGAATTTGAACCTAATAAGCTTCAATTAGATTGATAATAAATTTACTCCAGTTTAGATGACCAACAAGTTGCATAATCTCTGAAACTGCTATGTTAATTATAGTTATTTTTCATAAATGATATGAAATATCTCCAGTGTTAAATGTTCAACATGCGATGTATATTATATACCTTTAACTATTATCCATTTATTTAGTGGTGAACACTCTAGATAATAGCTACGAATTTAAAATAATCAAATAATATCTTATCACCTTAGACTCAATATAGTTATTAATTATATTTGAAATAATCGCAATGATTGGAACCTTTAAATAACTTCAACAATTCATCTAAAAACTGAGTCGAGCTACTTTTTTTATGGTTTTGAACTAGTTTATCAGATTAAACGTTGAAATTATTTAAAAATTTCAATCAATGAGATTATTTCAAATACAATTTTTACATAAAATTATCTTTGTGAATAATCTCTGTCAAAACTGTTTACACTTTTATTAATTTATTTGAACACATAAATATTCGTACAAACGGGCACCAAATACATATGTGACAGACAAGTCACTTGATTTGTGTGAGGGCTGGAATACTGTCTCGGTGCCCAAACCGGAACGGGTGGTTTTCTTAGAGGGCCACGAACCGAGCCTTTGACCTAAAGGTGTAAACCACAAGACAATGGAACAATCTTAGGAAATGCGGTCCCATGGTAGCTGGTGACCAACAATAGATTCATACACCATTTGTTCCTTTAGGATCCTGGAGCCCATGTGCACCATTGGTTTGGAATCAGGGTTTTTCAGCTCCGCTAGGTGGATCCACCAAACCGGTTAAAGCGCCGGACATTCGCTATTAGTACTCTCAATTCCGTAAATAACACCCCCACCACAAGAAGATAGTGAGTAGGATTTCTTTGGCAGTGGCTGTATACGTGTATCACAAGTGGGAGTGCTGACTCATCCCACCCTCAGTCCTACCAAGGCAATTAGGGGCTGTTTACAATTTAGTTTCATTTAATTCACCAAATATGTTAGAATAGAAGATAGAATAAATTATTTATTTATTCAATAATTCATTGAAAAGATATAACAAACCTATTCATATTATTATATATTTTTTCCAACAATGATGAGAAATACATATATACGTATGTAAGTGTATGCGTACATATATGCATATTCCTTTTATTTTTCTTCATTCATATGTAAACATACACAAACTGTTTTTAAAAAAAAACAATTAAGTAGTAAGTAGTATCAGTAGGTGAATTGGAAAAAAAACTATGATTAAGCAGAGATGTGAATAACAATAGAAATATGTTCCGGCTGAAAATAGGGCATTATTATTATCTCTATAAGGATTTATTTACTATTATTACAGTTGTATTATAATTATTAGACAAACAAGTAAACAACACAGATAATATGAAAAAGAAAACAAATAGGGGTGACAATTAATGTTATTGGGTGTGTGTATATGCGCTAATATGACAGTATATATATATATATATATATATATATATATATATATATATATATATATATATATATATATATATATATATATATATATGCAAACAAAGAACACTAACAGTACTCATTCATCAATAAATAGTCTATTAAAAAGAATGATAATCATTTAGATAAATTAGATCACACAACAACATCATTATAACAATATGGATAAACATAACCATAATCAATTTTCATGAATTGTTTGTCATATAATGACCTAATATAAATATTTTGTTTTGGTTGTAAAAAAACAACAACAACGAAACAAAGCAAAACAAACAAACAAAATAATCACACTATCGAACAAACATCATAAGGAAAACAGCTTCATTATTATTATTTTTTACTATTCCATTGTCAAAAAGTAACAGTAAACACGTGCACGCACACACACACATACACACGTATATTTACAAATTGAAATAACATTTTGTAGTGGATAATTCGAAATAAAAAAGCGGAACGAGAAAATATTTGATTTTATAAAGGGGAATAAAACTTGTGCTGATGTTGTCAGTCAGTAACAACGTAGAACTTCGTACATATGTACATCAGTTCGAGTTGTTTTGAACGAAATAAAAGAAAGCAAATAAATTGGTGAGAGAAAAAACAAACAAATAAAGAATTACTTTATGTTAAGCAAAACAACATACATTATGAAATAGATTGAGAAAACAAAAACATGATTTTTTTTGTGATACTATTCAGAAGAAAAAAAATCGTCATCAGTAAGGGAGTAATTTCATCATTAACTTGTATATATATTTTACGTGTACAGTTTGAATGTATGTTTTCACATGAAATTAACAATATTCCTTTTAAACATGAACATTTTCAAAGTGTTTAAAATAATGAGTAACATAAAAGAGGGAAAAAAAGTATGATGCATAACAGAATGGTTAAAGGAATAGATAGTAACATGAACAATGTTTCTATTGCGCTCACAAATCAAACGCTTCCAGAATGTTTCAACTCATTAATAATAATGGAATGACAATATTTTGTTTTTGCTTTTCTTTTAAGACAATCAAGATATAAACGTGAGCATGAAGTATAGTGATAGATTTTTTTTTCTTTTTTTTTTAAAAAAAAGGGGAAAAATCAATTATAAGTAATAGTTCATCAATAGAAGCGGAACATTTGATTTAACCTAATTAAACCATAAAACACATCATACAAAATATGAAGAGATATTATCAATGTAATTCAGTTATCATAGAAACATTCTAGTATTAGTATTGATAATGGTACTAGTAATATATGCTAGTAACAACAGTAGCCATTGGAAAATATAACAGTTACAAGCATAAATGATTACAAAATTTTCTTTACTTAAACTATTGAAAGTGAATTTTCTAGATAGAAACAAAAAAACAAATAATATAGTTTTTAATGTACATTAAAATTATTATTTTCAATGTTTATTAGTAATATTGCTAATAATAATTACAAAGTTTATGCCGAAAAAAATCTTGACATTCATTGAAGGAATAGTACTTTATAGAATAGTTTTATAGTTTACAATCATAGTATGAATTAAAACAAGAAAAAAGGAAATGAATAACCACAACTCATGCACACAAACATACATACACACAAGAAAAAGGATATTTTATAACTGTTTATTGAGTTCAGAATTTTTTATTTTCTTTTCAAGAATATATATATATATAGTGTGAATTCGTATACTGTAATAATAAACACTTTTCCCATACAATAATAATAACAGATGAATGAAGAAAGAGATCGATGGAGCTATAGTGGCAACGATAGGCAACTATTTAGGCATAACACAAAGAGAAAGATGAATAAAGACAACAAAATTCACTGTGATAAATGAAAGTTAATGCAAAAAAAATACAGGACGACAAAGAAGAAAACAGGTGACAATAAAAATCATTGGTGTGAACAAATTGGAAATAATAAGCAATTGGAAAGCAATAATGATAATAGAACCACTATCATTGTCATTATTATTATTATTAGTAATAGTAGTAGTAGTGGTACTAATAGTAACAACTGATAATGGTTGTGCTTGTTTACAGTCAGTATCAAATGTTCAATTGTTAATTTAATTAATCATTAATTATTATTAATATTTTCGTCATTAATATTTAAAATTCACCAAATTCTTTTGCACACTTCTCTGTTGTAGCAATACGTAATGGTTCTTCTTCATAATCATCAAAATTACTTGCATCTCCAGCACCAGAACATTTTGGTGTAAATGGTGCTTCAATCTAAAATAATTAACAAAAAATCTAATTATACGAAGAAATTTATTTAAAAATGAATTTTCAATCAGTAAAAAAAACTGGTTAAAGTAGATTAATATCTAAAAGTGAATAATAGAATACATAATTTATACTATATAGGGCTCTTTAACTGAATGTAACTGTATACTAGTATTCATGTTTCAATTGAAAATCAATCCCAATACATTGCAATTCAAACGTACATGGTGTTATCCAACAAACTATTTAGTTCAAACGGTTATTAGCTTATGAAACAAATATGAAATTCAATTTCCTTTCTTTTACAGTTTGTATTTTTTTTCTTCTGTTGTTGATGATTAAAGAAAAAAAACCCTTAAAGTTATCCATCCAGGGTACTACATATAACTCAAATAGTAGGATCAATTATAGTTTTTAGCACTAACAATAGGGAAAACGTTAACTTTTATAAATGATTAAGTTTGTAGATCAAATTCATTTTTAACTGTCTAACAGACACAGACCAATAAATTCAGCATATTCAATGAATTCCTTGAACTGTTATGTTCTTAATTGACAAGTCAAATAAAGTATTTTAATAGTTGAATTCATGAGTCGATCTAAGCTAGACCATCAATGAAAATGTGGAAGTACTGGACAAACGTTTCATCCTAGGGCGATACTCCTCAGCAGTGCGCATTCACGACCCCGCACACAGGTCTTGAATCCAGGACCTTCGGTTTAGTGAGCAAACTCTAGACCATTGAGTCGGCATTCAAATAAACGAATCATAAGTGAAGGAAAAAAGTTATTATCAATAACAGTTAGTTCACCGATATAGAGATTAGTTTCCATGACTATATCAAAAGACTGAGGAGTATGTAATTTCAGTATGAGTAGTTTTGTATATGTATGATCGATTAAAACTGATGATAATTTAAGTGACTAAAAAAACTGTTATTTTGCGACAGCGCAAAATATTTTTGATTATAACCGTTAACAGCATGTCGTTTTACAAAATTGAAAACATGTGTAACGAGTGAGTTGAGATTGAAGTCGTAATATCCATGACAGTGAAAAAGATTGGACATTGGGAAATAAGATAGAGTATGGAAAAACAATGGAAGTGAGCATCAAATAGGATCAGAATAAGTGTGTATATATATATACGCTACCGAAACTGATTCTGAGCAATTATGGGACCCAACATCACCAATCATCAGTGTATAATTCAATGATAACTAATCAACCTGCTTTAATGTAAACCAATAATCATGTTATGCAATATGCAGAATTCCGTTATTTCATAGGTCAATCTACACTATGAAGAAGACTACATGACGTTAGTAACCAATCATGGATCATTTGTTGTGAAAATCCCAAACCTAAAAATCAGTAGTGGCTCAACTACTTTATTCTTAACGTTTTTGATTCCAGCACTAAGCATTAGTATACTAGAATCCGATTAGGAGATCCTCTGTTCCCTTAACATAACAATTAAGCCCTGTTTATCTATACTAACAAGCACAAATGTTAGTAATATGAGATTTCTATTCGGAATGATTACAAATGACCAGTCCCGTTGAGTATTTGTGCATACCTGAACGGAGTGCCCTGATACTACCAATTACTCACAACACTAAGATTCACGGAATAAAGGCATCTATTTAAACTAAAAATTTTCGCCTTTATATGAATGTACACATGTATATAGAAAAAGCAAAGAAATAATGATAATATATAATTGTTTATAAGTAAATTTATAAATCACAATCGATCAGTTAGCCATCGTAACTATAGAACCTGTCAAAAAATAAGTATTAACATGTCTAGTACGGTCGAGGCACAAGAGAGTCAGCTCGCCCGTTCGAAATGTTCGCAAATGGCCACGCGTATATATCCACTACAAGGGGAGACCTACTCACGGACTTCTAGTAGTGTGGGTCTTCTTTACGAAGTCGAGGGCGAAAAGCATATGTACGACACTTTAACAGGGTTGGCGGACATGGACGGTTCACCTGGAGGAGTTGAAAACCCTTCATTTCAAATCAATGATGAACATGGGCTCTACAACCCTTTGAGAACAAATGGTGTATGAACTTATTGATCACCAGCTACCATGGGAATCCATCACCTAACGCTGGTCTAGTGCCTTGTGGATTAGATCTTTAGGTCAAAGGCTCGGGGAATGGCTCCTTAAGAAAACCACCTGTTTCAGTTTGGGCACCAGGACAGTACTCGATTTGTGTGGTGCATTTATATTTGGTGCCTCCTTGTACCAATTTTTATATATTTAAATAAGTAAATAAAGAAGTGAATAATAAAAGAAACGAAAATAACATAGTACTAATGATCATATGAAGGATTGAAAGATTTGAATTATCAAAATATGAATATCTTGGCTACCGGTTCCTGCCAATTAGATATTTCAACAAGTAATCTGTTGTTGTTTTCTGCTTGTTTTAACAGATCATTATGTCTAGTAATCGCATAATCTATTCATAAAAGTTAATTTATGAAAAGTATACGACCATTCTCTGTACAAGTTACAAAAACCTACAATCAGAGACATCGTGATGGCTGACAATATGCATTGAATTGAATGAACATGATTCAGATGTCGATTTCTGATCTTTTAACATCTAACTGATGATCACTCAATATTTGTCGTCAGGATCGATCAAGAAATAAAAAATGGGAAATTTGCTGAGATACTTTGTGCTGAGAATTCTATATTATACCAAGAATATAATGATGAATAAAGCTACTGATAACAATAGTAATAATTATCATTTTATTATTTTCAAGGATTTTAATTTATCTGATGTATTACTTATTTTTAAATTTAATTTAAAAATGATGGTATGATGGTAAATCAGTTGACGAGGTTGTAAATCTTCATCGACTAAGATGGTTGCGCCACGTATTACGGATGCCTGAACACCGTTTACCACTACGTGCAATGCCAACTAGTGTTGGGGGTGGTCAAAAGAAAGTTAGGGGAGACCAAACCAAAAAGTGGCATCATTCCTTCAAGTTACTAACTTCTAGTCTGAGTCATGCTGGTAGATGCAGGGGTCCATGTGACTATCGTAACCAATGGTTCGAGACTCGGGGTGACATGTCTGAAAATCGATAATAATGGCGTGGGTGTATACACTGTGCCTCCCCTTAAAATATGGGTAAAATTGCTTTATATCTTTCTTTCTACCAGCTAATTCTTTATTCCTGTACTATATCCTTATACACAATCTTTCTTTTGTATATTACCACCATTGAATTAACTACTTTATGAATTTGGTGATCTTGTTGTGCTAACGAGGTATGGCAACTCGGATTGCAGCATACAAGTGCTTGATACTACGTTGTAGCTGACTGACTTTAAATTGAATAGTTTATTTATAAAGTTTTCTTCATTACTTTGGATAAATTTTTATAAGTATTTTTTTCATATAAAAATCATAAAGCTTTTATTTATTCTATAAGTATTTTGCTTTGATGACTTTGGTTGAAACTGATTAATAGTGAGATATGTCAAATTCTCCTCCAACCTATTGTATTGTATGTTGACAGATATAAGTAGTACGTAGCACTAGTCGGAAATGGAATGCTTGCGTGTAGATGTTTGAGAAGGAAACTGAAAGCATCCAAATTAAGTAAAATCTCCAAACACTAATCTTCCCGATTACTGCTTATACTCTTATTACCTCTACCACTACGGGATTTGAATTGACCACTGCATCTCTGTGCTAATGTGGTGTGACAACTCGAACTGATGTACATACGTACGAAGTTCTACGTTGTTACTGACTGACTGACTGACTGAAATTGCAAAGAGAATGAAGGAACAATGAAACTTTCAAAAAATCTATTCAAAATAGATGGGAAAATGTGGTTAATGTATGATTTCGACATTTTAACAAAGCACTCTGTAATTTGGGAATAAGCAATAAATTGGTCGCCCCTATCATGCGACTATAAGGCTTAAAATAAATATATAACGAGTAAATTACCCGTTCACTGTTTCTAAAAGACGAAATAACACTGATGATAGTAACGCATCCGATATGATCGATGAAAAAAAAGTGAAACTTTATTTGCATATTTTAGAAATTCCCCCTTACGGTTCATTATTTATTTAATATCTAAGACGTTATACTGTATTATAATAAGTTATATTTGTCTCAAACTGATCTCAGTTGGTATACCGTTGAAAACCAGATGGTAATGAACAACTGTTGGAACCTAGCATGAGATCCCTCTTATCAGTGAATACTTACAATTGTGACAAAGATTGAACACAAGACCGATAGTTTCAAAAGCAAGACTTTTAACATTTATGACGATTAAATCGGCGTCTAATTGTACAATTTCAACTTCAATCAATTTAAGATATAGCGTGATGATAACTGTTCCATTCACAACATGTTTAACATTCTATCAGTCATAACTTTTCACCATGAATTCAAGAATAAAATATTAATGAGATATTTTTTTATATTACAGTGTTATTTCCTTTTGTTTTAATAGTTTATTTCATGAATCGACCTAGTCTAGACCACATGGAAGTACTAGATGAAAGTTTCGTCCCAGTATAGAACTGCTCAGTAGTGTGCATTCACGATTCCACACGAGACTCTCAAACCAAGGAATTTTGAACTTACGCATGAACGTTTAACCTCTAGATAACTGAACCGGCATCTGATAGTGTTATTGTTTAACTTCAATCGATTCATGAACTTGCGCAACCATCCATTGATTGTCTAACGTGGATTAATGTCTTTACCCAGCATGGATTTTTTTATTTCCCTTATTATATATTTACTCAATAAAATGATCAATATCATCGTATTTTATAAAATTAATATGATGAACATTTTTGATTATTCATTCAATGAAACCATAGGGACTACTATCAAATTCATTTCAACAGTAATATTTACAGTATTTGAGATCATGAGTCAATTGAAGCTAGACCACTATGGAAAACCTGGAAGTACTGAATGACCACTTCGTCGTATTGTGGAACTCCTCAGCAGTGTGCACCCACGATCCCACCTCGTGGAATGCCAACCCAGGACATATCAGTCTTGCATGCGAGCGCTTAACCACTACACCAATGAACCAGCCAACATCCAACGGTGTTAATGTCTAACTTCAACTAATCCACAAAATTAATCGACACATCCACCATTGTCATCAGTGAGTTACTATCTCACAACAGACCCGATTGAATTCCACTAGTCACTGCTTCTCACTAAAACTCCAGAATATACATCTTGAAGCCAGTCACTAGTGAGTATATACTTCTAGGTTTTTCATTGTGGTCTAGCTTCAATTGGCTCATGATCTCAACTACTGAAAGTAATATATACAATAAGAGAATTTTTAAAAAAATTAACATTGAAACTATTTCTTTTAAAAAAAGAAGATAAAACTTACATCACGTTTAAAAATAGAGAACCAATCAGTTGTTGCGAACCATTTATGTGTTTTAATATCATTAACACCATTTTTTAAATTTCCAAAACGTTTAGTTAAATCAACTTGTAAAAGATTTCTTAGTAAATCTTTTAAATCAGAACTAAAATGTGACGGGAAACGAACCTGTTTGGGTGGATAAATTATTATTAATATTATTACAATAAAGCGTTTAGTAAGGATTATAATAGTAGCAAGAATAGGAGGAAAGTAATTACAGCGTTCAAAATTATTTAGTTTATAAAAATATATGTATATAAATGTATCATTAGTTTACCAGATAGAGTAATTTCACAGAAAAAAAGTCAAATCTTAACTGAAGTCATAATTATCTTTACATCACTAGTATATAGTAATAATGTATAGCTGGATAATAGAAACGATAGAGAACCGTAAACAACTTGTTTTAATACACTTATCAAATGATTATGATATCATACGGGGTAGTATTCAACTACTTACATAATGGACTAGTAGTATGTGATGTTATTGTTTATTGTACAAAAAAGCGCAACAACAAATAGTGCATCATACAATTGTTATGTGTATCTATTAATAAAAATATGTTGATACAATGGGTAGGTTGGAATTAATTAGAAGATTTGGATTTCGCAGATGATCTGACTCTTCTATCCTATAGACATTAACAAATGCAATTGAAGACAACTAGTGTAGCAGCAATTTCTTCATCAGTAGACCTCAACATACACAAGGGAAAAAGCAAGATTCTCAAATACAACAAGGAGAACATCAACCCAATCCCACTTGATTGGGAAACTCTGGAAGAGGTGGAATCAACAACAGAAATGATGCTTTCAGAAAGGTAGATCTGGGTGCTACTATATCTAGTGATGACAAGGGAGGTAGGGCTGAAGCAAACGTAGATACGCGAATGATTTATAAAATCCCTGAGCCTAGTGAAGGATCTGACGATGAAAATTTGAACACTTGTGCTGCGCGTTACTTTTTCCAACCACCAAGCGTCGAATACAGTTTGAAGGAATGGGTCAGATCTTTGAGATACAGCTCATTCAGTCATTTTGTCAGATCTACAAGGACCGCTAAGGGTAACCTATGTATGGAGTGTTACGGCTATAACATAAAAAAATGGGTTCTGTAAGTGTATACCACACAATAATGCTTTTCAGTGTAGATATCAAAGAGCATTCAATGAGAACACAACATGGCTCTTTTTATGGCCTCCTCAACAAACTGATTTAATACTCCGAGTTTTTTTTTCACTCGTTGTATTAAGAAAAGTCCGGTTACTTGATATAAATAGCCATGAAATAACTTTTATACTAAGTGCGTATTACATATAGCACAGAATAGATCAAATATAACTACCTAATAATATATATGAATTTCTGCCTTAATGACGTTCATATAACGTGATGTTCTATTTGTAATCAGTAAGTTTTTTTGGATAGATTGATCTATTTAAGGTTAAACAGTTAATCTGTAACAGACAGTAAATATGAATTATTCTACGTCTGAGACAATTACAATGATATCGATTCCATGTTTGACATAATTTACCTGTCATTAACATCGTATTTCACCATTAAATTGAAACTAGTAACATTAACGTAATATGTGCGTACAATTGCACGCATTTATTACATGATTAAATTACTTGATCCATTCGGCGTTGTAACCAAATGAGAATTGTATGTTAAAACTGTGATAAAATTAATAACACCTTACAGGTAAATATTATACTTTATTACAGATTACATATGGTAAAAATACATGTAATTACGACTGTACAGTTTAAAAAAATGCAATCGCCTGAAAAAAACGTTTTTTTCCTGAAAGGTCTACATTCTTTTTATGTTAGACAAGCAATGAAAGCCTGGATGCACAGGATGGCCGTTTTGTCCTGATATGAGAGTCCTCAGTAGTGCGTACCCACGATCGCACGCGCAGTTCTCAAACACAGGACCTTCAGTTTCGCATGACCAATTTAGTTGTTCTTGGCTTGAATGCTGTTAATAATGGACATATCGTTTATAACTCTCTTAAAAAGTGGTAATTTCCACTTGTTATTGATTAGTTTTTTCAGGTAAACTAGTAACTATGATCATGATAAACTTGTATTTATTAAGAGTGAACTATCCACTTTCGTCATATTCGTTAGCATGTAGAATGTATTCATCATTGAAATCTTATACTACACAACTTTGGCATTATACATATTTCATATGTGCAATAGTTGACAAATGAACTGTTTTAAATGTTTTCATTTAAATCTAGTAATTACTATTATTATCAGTATTTCATTTACTGTTTAACAATATTCATGAATAAGTTTGTAAATCTCTAAAACCACTTTGTGAGTAGTTTATAAAATTATACCAAGTTAAAGTTTTCAAGATTAAGATACTTTAGTCATATGACAATTCATCCTTTAATATTAGTTGATAATGATTATAAAAATTATAATTGAAATAACCACTCATGTAAACACATTCAAAAGTTGCATTTGAGTAGAACTATGAAACATGATGATTCAGATCAGTTGAACTCTTTGGACTAGTAAACCATGTTTATATCTCCAATTCATTTTCAATGACATCACAACATACTATCCTGCTATTAACTATCACTGCATGGTTTTTATATATAAGTTTGATAATAAACAAAACAATTGTTATATCCGTATTCAATTGATTCCCTAAATTCTTAATTCTAGTTATATACTAGTATACACATCTTAAATTTCGAATTTTGTTGTCATTCTACATCAAATGACGTTAATTCTCTCTCTATACACAGAATTAACTGTTGAACATGTTTGAATAAGAGTTCACTATTAACGTGTATGCACTTGCGCCATTGCCATCATTCAGGGTCTCTAACCATAGGTTGCTATCATCTCGCGGTCCCCAACCAGGTAGTCTACACCTACCAACATGACTCAGTCCGCTTGTCAGTGACTTCATGGACTTGTGCCATGTTTTGGTTTAGCCGCCCCTAGCTTTCTTCAAACCTACTCTTATACCACTGAACATCGCACGTCCAGGCTGTATAATCTTATTTATACGTAATGTTTTTACATGTTGTAGTCTATTTATTAAAATATCAGTGTTACAAAATGATCAAAGATATTTAAACTTATTCAAGTATTGGATGTGAAAATCAATGAAAATGAATGGATGATAATTTTACCATCTATGATGAAGACAATAACCCTAATAAGATGATACAAGTCCATAAAAGAATCAAAGTTGAATGTTGATGTTCTACTAAAACGAAGACCAGATAGATCTCTACAAGAATTGATGTACAGAAAGCTAATCTGGTACGAAAAGCATACGAACATGCAGGACTGGGTGCAGCTGCGTAGAAAGAGAACTTTAATCTATTCTCTATCTTCAAGAACTAGATGAATATTAAATTGAAGATATGCTTGATGATAAGTTGAATATAATCTGATGAACACTTTAGAAGAGTGAATTCTCAACTTAATAATAATAATAATTTAAAAACAAAACGTCAAGTTTAAAGTATTTTCACAGTTTCGAATAAATTTTTATTCTTAAACACTGAATGAGAGGGAGATACAGCTAAATGATACAATCCCCTTTTTATTCAATACTACAGAACTTTGATTACGTTGAAATAACATCCTTCCATTTATAAAGTTTCACCAACCAAGAATTTCAACTATTTTTTTGTTCTAGTCGAATTCATTTCTGTAGTTGATCTGGATCTAATTAGTGATATCAAACCGTATTTAAACAATAAAATACTAATAACACTAACAAAAAAATTCATACAACAATTAGATAGGTAAATAAAATATGAAATACATTAATTATAAATTATTTTTTTTGTTAAAAATGTCAAGTAAGAATATCACCTACTTTTCCTGATACAATACGTTCATAAATTTGTATTGGTTGATCAGCGAAAAATGGTGGATAACCAGCTGCCATTTCATAAACTAATACACCAAGTGCCCACCAATCAACAGCTTTATTGTAACCCTACATAACAATATAATATTATGTATTAAAAGAAAAAAAAAGTAGTGATGAATAGTTTGAACAAATTTTAAATATCATTCATGTATATTTTCTCGTTACAATAAAAATTATGGCAAAGTCGATGAGACTATAGTTTATGAACGAGCCAATCAAAAGGGTTTGAGGGAAATCAAGGTCATGACGCCAATTTCAGTACCTGATGCTCATGTACAATCAATTCACAGCAGACTTTTAGAAAAAACGTGATAATTAAGCTGCTAAAACAAATGGGACTATTAAGAAGTTCTTTTATTTGTGATCGTGATAATCAAATAATTTGTGAACCTTGTGTAGACTACCGTGATGTTGTCTTTCAATGTAGTATGTATTGGAGGAAGAAGTGTGCTAGAATAGGAATTTTTGTTCAATCCAGATTGCGATTAAGACAAATTATGATAATTGTTGCCACCTAGATAATAAAAGTGACAGTAACACTGGCTGCAGCTAGGTACTACAATATATATGGATTGGAGAGCCTACAGATGATTACATAGACTTGGTTATTTGCATCGTGTCGTTATCCACAAGCGGCATCTTGTGGACCCAACAACCGGAGTGCACACAAAAAATATCGAAGCTATGTGGTCGAGGCTCAAAGAGTTTTTGCGACCTCAGGAAGCTACTTATTATGGAGACATACAGATAATTTCCTCTACTCCATGTAATACGATTTTAGAACCTCTGAATCTCTTTCTAACCTTGACAAGTTTTCAAACCATGTAGAAGCGTAAAGTCCTTTTTTCTTTGAATAATAACTGATTCATTTATTCGTTAACTAATTATTATTATTATCATTACTATTATTATTAAATTATTACTTAAATCAATGATACAATCAACTTAGTAACATAAATTCTAAAAAAAACATTAGTTTCTATCTGTACTCATCAATTATTTATTATCTAAAAACTAGCAAAATCAAAACGAAACAAACATTGAATGCATCTAGATAAATAACAAGCTGAAAATTTTCTACATGACCTTAAATATTCAATAGTTTATTATATATATTAAGGATTATTTAGTAAATTTATATAATAAGGTTAGACAAAGACTGAATCTAAATAATATAATATTATTATTATAAGATTATGTATATAGAATAAAATTGAAAGTCCTTAAAACCAACTTATTAATAAGTGAAATATTATAGTTCCCTAGTTAAATGTAATATCATTTTATTATTCATAACAAGCATGAACTGATCAGTTCGTTTAACATGATTACTATTAGTAGTATAATCATTCATAGTAATAGTAATAATAATAATAATAATAATAATAATAATAATAGTAATAATAATAATAATAATAGCGGTGATAGTAATATGAATATGAATGGATTTCACTATCCTTAAAATCGATAGAATTTAGGAGAAAAAAATAGAAAAAAGAAAATAGTCACGACATAGACATATAGGTCAATCAGGTTAGAATAAATAGCCAAGTAATTGATAACAGAGAAGGGGATATATATATATATATATATATATATATATATATATATATATAATAGAATTAGAAAGGCAGACAGATAAATATCCTGTTAGTTAAAAGATTAGAAAAATAAATGAAACATTGAAAGTTAAATATTAATACTAATAGTAGACTAAAAAAAACTATTGACTTTTTTTCTCATTTCTTGAACACGTATTATTAGTAATAATGATATAAATTATCGCAGTAGCTATACACTAAGCCTCTTTGAACTCTTAAAGTATGAACACTAGAAAATTCATTAGTATTCAGACTAACCTAGTTCTTGTAATTGTTTTCCGAAAAAGAATAGAATCTATGTACCCTAAGAAAATTTTACTATCCGATAGTATTATTCATGGAAATCATGAACCAATTAATGTTTGACTACCACTGAAAAACCGGAAACACAGGACGGCCTTTTAATCTGAGTATGAAACACCTCAGAATAGTGGATTAATTGAAGTTAGACCAACATTGATGGATGTCGGTTCAGTGGTCTAGAGGTTAAGCAATCGCGCGTGAGACAAAAATTCCTAGGTTCGAATTCCACGTGCGAGATCATGGATGAGCATTGCAAAGAAGTATCATGCTATTACCACACAGCCATCTAACACTTCTAGGTTTTCAATGATGGTCTAACATTGATCGATTTATGAAATTCAAAAGTTTCCACAACCGTAAATTGAATATCACTACTCAGTCGACTAAATAGTGCTTCTACATTTTTAACAATAGTCATTGAAATAGATCACAATTATCAAACATATCAGATTGCACTAAATGATTAAAACTTAAATTCAAAAATTTTTTAGTTTGACAAGAAAATGTTACATTGATTTTTATTTTTTTATTTTATTTTAACACATCGATATTTGTACAAGTAGGCACCAAATACATATGCGCCACACAGATCTCATTCGATATGTGTGAGGACTGTGATAATGCCCGGGTGCCCAAACCGAAACGGATGGTTTTCTTAGCGGACCACACTCGGAGCTTCCGGCCTGAAGGTCTAATCCACAAGGCAGTGAGGCATCGTAAGGAGGTGCAGTCCCATAGAAGCCGGTGATCAACGATTGGTTCATACACCATTTGTTCCCTCAGGGTACTGAAGCCCATTTGCAGCACTGATTTGGAATCAGGGTTTTCCAACTCCCCTAGGTGGACTCTCCATCTTCACCAACCCGAGTAAAGCGCCGGATATTCACTTTACGTCTTCTCAATTTCGTAAACAACAACCCCGCCATGAGAAGGCAGTGAGTAGGACTTCCCTGGCAGAGGCTATATACGCGTGGCCATGTGAGAGCATTTCGAGAGGGAGAGCGGACTCTCCCCACTCTCGGCCGTATCAGGGCATTTGGGGGCAAGATTGTGATGGAAGTGGGATTTGAACCCATACCCTTTCGAACTGGTGTCGATATCTTTAAACATAATAACACTGTTTATCTTTAGAACTCCTAACATCAATATTATTGTCGTCTGGAATAACAGGAGAATATTATTCTTTCTAACTGTAACATAAGTTCAAAATTTGCAAAAAGTGTGAATTTTCCTTTTACCAAACTGTAATTGTACCAATTTATTGATTTAATTTTAATCTATACAAAATCTAGTTTCAAACTTTTCAAATGATTGGCGGTTTCAATCTATCCAAATTGACAATTATCTTATTGGTTATAATTGTATTCATATTAAATACTAGTTAATATAGAATATTCGTTATTGTCTTGAAAAATAATACCATTTTGAAATGACCTTAATTACATGATTAATAATTATTATATCGATCTAATAAAATGAAAATACAATTAGATAGTAGTATATGGAATTCAAATAAAATATTCATGTATAACAAATAAATCTTGTAACAAAGTGCCCTACCAGAAGACGAGAATCAATAATAAAAAGCATGTAACTTGTAATCTGTATTATTTATTTAATAATGTAAAAAGGCTTTGTTTTCCTTGTGTTAAGTCTATTCTATACACACATTTTCGTATGTGTTGAACAAGTTTTTGACGATAATAGAGTTTTGTAAATATTGAATTAGAGTTTAAAGCGTTTTCGAATTTCAATGTTGGAATATCAACACTGAGATTCATGAAAAGTCTTCTATAGGATGATAAGTACATTCTAAATTTCCATCTAAATATATTAAAACATTCTATAACCAAAAATATTACATACTTGCACACTGACATTCAAAAATATAATATAATTGACGATATGTAGCTAAAAAGTTGAACTATTGCTTGTATATTACTGAGAACATCGATTTAGTCGTTTTCAGATTAGACATAAAGTGCCAGGTAAGGATGGAAAATCGATTGACCAGGTGGAGGATGTTTATTAAATGAGATGCTTAGAATATGTATTACGCACGTACCACCACTTACCTTCACGTGTGCGATGATGGATAGTGAAACAGCAAGCTGGGAGAAAACTAACGATGGCTAAACTAAAACGTGGGATCCGTCTATGATGCTATTGACAATTGGACTGAGCCATATAAACATATGTAAACTACTTAATTAACGCGATTACCGTAACCAACGGTTAGAAACTTGATATGACAGCTAGTAACCGTTTACAATAGCACGAGTGCATCCACTCTTTGTCTTCCATTAGATTTTTTAAACTGTTTCATTAGTTTGATCACTTTTTTCTGAAGTCTTATATGTCTAATCATTTTTATTTCAATCAATACTGTTACTACCTTTACTCATCTGGGAATTTGCCCTGACAATTTCATTTCACTACCTTAATGGATTATGATCAATTAAACTGAAATATACAAGCATGTCAGGTTCTAAGTTGCATTTGAATAACTGAAAAAATCAATGCCTTTTTTTATACATTCACTAACATGTATATCATATGTTTTAGCCAAAATTACATTTACAAATTTTGCTGAGTTTTTATTGACTAATTTGTGTAAATCATTTACCAGCATCATGGATATGTGCTCAAAACAAAAACAGATAAAATCTCAGAAAAAAAATCCTAAGATTTTTTAAAAAAAGGAACAAACAGACATTGGTTAATACAATAAAGTTTAGATTGAGAAAGTAATGTATTGGAAAGTATTAAAAATACATTGAACAAGGAAACATTGATAATATTCAATTGTTGATTATTGTTCTTTTAGGGGTAAATAAAATAGAAAATATGAAGGAAAACAAATTATTATTATTAGGATGAAAATAACACCGGAATATGATACTACTCTATATGAATTACATAGATTAGATAGTTGATTAAAATTTAGTGATAAATCAGTGTTCGACTAAATTAACATAGAAATAAATCTATCATATTAGCAAAATAAGATCAATAATGAAGGAGTAGAATTAGTGTAATAATAGTTATAATGAAAAATATTGAACATTCTCACTATGGTTCAAGGAAACAGAATGAAAAGGTATGTATGAAATAATACTAGAACTCAAGACAGAGGGAAAATAAAAAATGAATGTATCTGTG